TATATATGTTATTATTTAAAAGCTGCTTGTGATAGGCTTTGGTTCATCATGTGACGTTCTCATCGCCTCCTGCATTTGGTGGTTATCAGTGTGTTACAAAGGTACAAAACAGATTTCAGTACTTCAATAGGTTGGTATATTAACATTATATCAGTTATTGAAATTACGGTATTTTACTGTAAATGTAAGTTAAAACCGTAAAACCTAAAACGCTGCTACCGTATTTGTTACGGTAAAATTCCAGCAACCAGAGCTGCCATTTTTTTACCGTAAATTGTACGGATTTTTTTTTACAGTGTAGTTACTTCTTGATTGGAAAAATAGTAAAGCGAAACGCACTAGGTCTCTGTAAAGCTTTGAAGTTGTTCATGTTTGCTCTCTTTTCCTAATTGTATATTGATATACTTTTAATTATACTGTTTACTGATCATTTGACTTGCAACACAAACACAAATAATAATAATAATAATTTCAAGTGTCCAAAAGAACCGATTCGCGGAAATGTTTAGGGCTGACCACAACTAGGAACTATAGTCAACAGCTCATTTATCTCTGGCATGTTTCTCTGACGCAACGGAAACACGGTGTCATCGGGGAATACGTCCCTTGCTCTCAATTTTCCCGCGATTCTGGAGTTAGTCTCGACTGGTTGTGAGTGCTTTCAGAATTAAATTTGTTTTGTATAATTTGCCATAAACCTCCACAATGACAGGCGTTTACGAGTCTCCGAAACCCAGAATCAATGCGTCGATGTTGGCTCAGTACATCGGTCGACCAGTCAGCTTCGTCGGACGCTTGGAAAAGGTCAACTATAGTTTACTACCAACACACACAGCCTCACAGTATTAAAAACGAACATTTGTTAGTGCATTTACTGCGTACTGAACCTTCTAACTGTAGAAGGTGAATGATATGTGACAGGAGTGTTTTTAAATAGTATTCAGAATCATATAACGAGCCAATTATTTTCATATTATTCAATATTATTATGCATATTCATAATGCAGTAACAGTATGGTTGTGTATTGACAGGTGCATCCATCAGGAAAGGCTCTTACGCTGTCAGATGGAGAAGGAAAGTCTGCATCGGTGGAGCTCAATGATCCTGTGAGTGATCAGATCAGTATGCTGCAGCTTTCTGTGGGGCTTATTGCTCGTTATTAAGGAGGTACTCTTTCTTCTGCCCCGTTTAGCTGGATGAAGAGCTGAGTGGGATTGTGGAGGTTATTGGGATGGTGTCGAACAAAGGAACAATTATGGCTGTTTCATATACTCAGTATCGAGAGGACAAAATCTCTTTTGGTACCCATTATTAGATTGACTCTGAGTTTTATTTTTGCGTCATTGCATTCACTGGGATGCAAACCTTTTTTCATTTGTTTTGCAGATCTGGAGCTGTACAATGAAGGCCTGAAAGTTCTCCATGATTTCCCCCAGCATTACCCATTTGAGGTGTCATTAAGTGGTTAAACTGCACCTTTTATTAACCTTTTACAGTTTCTGTGTAATAGATATTTTCTGTGTTTGTAAAAACAAAATATGTAAACATTGTTTTGTTTTTGTTACTTGAAATAAAACCTTAAAACCCTCGGTTACATTGACAAACTTTGGAATTAATTTACCGTTTTACGGTATGCATGAAGCAAAGCATGATTATGAGGCAAAATTTAAGAAATCAAACGTTTTCTGTAATTCATCTGTAAAATCTCTCAAGATAACTAATTTAATCTCGCAACTAAAATGGATTTGCCTTCATTAAGCCACCTAATTGAATTATTATGAGGAGTTGGTGTGTTAGATCTTACAGATGAAGTACAGAAAACTTTGATTTCTTAAATATATATTTCCAACTGAAGTGAACATTTTTCTGATGTGTTTGTTTCTAAATAAGGTTTACATGTTTAAATTCACATCGACTATGTACACAAATACAAAAAGTGAGGTGATATGCAAGGTTTGTCTTCAGATGTTTTTTTTTTTATTCTAAGAAAAATCACGTTTAAATGATAGGCGTGTTATGATGTAGTTTTGTGTTTATATGGGCAGTTTTCTTTATCATATAACTGCCAGACAAGCCTATTAAGACAAGTTATTATGCACATTACAAATATCGTATTGGCAGAAAGTAATCCGTTTTTTCGACTTTTATTGAAAAAAGCAATATATGAGGTTGGTCTACGGACATATTCCACATCCTACATTCAAAGAATGACTATTTTTATTTCAAGATCATTTTATTTATGCTTGTCTCCTATCATTTTCTGAAAGTGCCACCAAGCTCATTTAGTTCGGTCATTTTTCACACAAGTATCTCAGTTCTGTTTGCTTATATATACTTCCACTAGATGGCAATAAAGTGGAAAACTTAAGCGGTCAGGTATCTGACAGATTGTGACTTCCGAGTTTTCTAAAACCAAGAGAAGGCTTTAAGAATTAAAATGCACTTTTTCATTAAAGATTTCTTCTACACAATAAACCTATAAATGTAAATAACTCATGAATGAAAACCAGATAAAAATGTACTAACCCTCAGTCTATCCAAGAAGTAGATGAGTTTGTTTCTTAATCTGAGTGGATTTGGAGAGATTTAGCATTACATCATTTGCGTCTTAATGGTGGATGCTCTGCAGTGAATGGGTGCCATCAGAATGAGAGTCCAACCAGCTGATAAAAACATCACAATAATCCACACTGCTCCAATCCATCAATTAACATCTTGAGAAGAGAAAAACTGATGGTAAGAAACAAATCCATCATTAAGACGTTCTAGCTTTAAACTGTTGCTTTTGGCTAATGCCTCTGTGCATAATATTGCTTTCTACACTGAAAAAGTCTGAATGAGGAGAGAAGTATGCATAGATCAAGCACTGTTTACAAACCAAAAAAAATTATAAAACGCGTTAGACTAATATGTGGGTGGATTTTGATGTGAGAGGACAACAGGGATGGACCTTTTCCACTGGAGGAAGAATTATTATGGATTATTATTATGGACTCGTATATTGGCCAGAAGCAAAGGGACAGACTATTTTCAGATAGCCTAACTAACATTATTTGGAAAATATGGTCTTATACAACAGTGAGCAGAGGACACTCCACACACTCATGGGAAACTAAAACAAGAATCCTGGAATGTTCTTCTTTAATAATGTGAGGGAGGCTAATATTTCTATGGGAAAAAACGTGTACCATTACAAAATTCATCAATCAGTAAAAGTGTCAGAAGGGGGTGAATGACCCAAATACCTCAAGCAGTCACTCGTTACCATGTTGAGTAACTCCCATATGTTTATGACAAGACAAACCATCTCCATCAAGATAAACGCCATTAGAATAAAAGATGCATTCAGATATTGTAGTATTTATATGATGATCAATAGGTGCCCTTTGTAGTGCTCACTGGTGTGGTGAGGAGTTGCCTGAGGTCAAGCAGCTGCCATATTGTTGCAAGTTCACACAGGAGTGTGGCAGGATAGCTAGCTTAGTATGTGGAGAAATATGTAAAGAATTGACCAAATTAATATACTGGAAAAGAGTAACATCATATTAGGTTTTAAGCCAGCTAATTCTATCCTTTGCTGTAGTGTGTGAGTAGGAAATATCAGATTACATTTACAAACATTAATTTGGAATGACATGAAGAATCAGAAAAAAGGGAGACAGACCAAATTCAGAAGAACTGTGGCAACGTCTCCAAGATGCTTGACGAAACCTACCTGCAAAGCTACCTGAAAAACTACACCGAGGGCAAAAGCTGCTTTAAACACAAAGTATGATCACAACAAATGTTGATTTAATTTAGTTAATAGACGTTAATTGATACATGAAATCAATTTATGACATTATTTTTGACAGCATCCTCATTTTACAGCATTTTTACACAAGTGCCTAAAACTTTTAACAGTACTGTATCTTTGCAGGTAGGTTTCTTGAAGCATCATGGAGATGTTGCCACAGTTCTTCTGGATTTAGTCTGATGGAGTCTACTATCCATCTAGAGCAGTGATGGGCAAACTTGGCCCTTCCAGGCCACTTTCCTGCAGAGATTTGATCCAACCCTGATAAAACTGACCTGCATGTAGCCTTCTAGTAGTCTTGAAGATAATGATTAGCTGGTTCAGGTGTGTTTGATTAGGGTTGGAGCTAAACTCTGAAGGAAAGTGGCCTGGAAGGGCCAAGTTTGCCCACCCCTGATCTAGAGAGTCTTTGCTTCATGACCGGAAGCCCTTTGATGCGGTTACCGAAGCTGACAAA